TTATAAAAACATTTATAAGAAAACATCATCAAGTCATATCATTTCATAAAACACAATCACATGTCTCAAAAATATATCATAAAAATAGTAATAATGTCAGAGTACAATCCCAAGAATCTCATGATGCGGAAATCATGTGTGTGTGATGTGTTGCTACCGTGTTAGCTCCTTTCCCTTCGATGAAGAGGTACCTGAAAACAAAATTGCAAACTGTAAGCACAAAACTTAGTGAGTTCCCCTATCATACCTCATACCATATATAACATATACTGTCAGGCATATCTGGGTGCCTGACCTACCCTGCTGAGCATACCGGGGAGTTCAACCTATGCCTGCTAGGCATATCGTGGTGCCTAACTTATCCCTGACATACCAGGGTATCCGATCTACCCCTTCGGTTTATCTTAACCGGTTACGGGGACTATTTCACACCCTACTACTACCACATAAAAGCATAACATAATCATAATGTTAGGCATATCGGGGTGCCCGACCTACCCCTTGGTCCTAAAGATCGGTCATGGGGACTATTCCCCCTACTATAACATCATATCAGGCTAGCATATAACCATAACAGATAACAACATACCAGACAATGTGAGATCCCTAAAATCACGGCAAGAAAAGACCGGTTTCATTTATGCTTTTAATATAGTTTCAGAGTAAATCCATTGATTTAAAAGTGTTGCGAAATTTGTTCCCAAAAACAAAATATGATAAAATAATATTTACCAAAGCATTTCATAAAGAAATGTATTTTCATTATATAATCAAAACTCAGGATGTCATGTTCAGATACAGACACAAAAGCATAAACAACAAAAGATAGACCATACAATAGTTACAAATAACAACTGGTCTAAATAACAAAACAACTTGATGATTCATCCATCTTATGCCATCGCGCCACTTCCTGTAATACAAGTAAACTTAGTGGGTCAAGCTTGGGAGTCTGGTGCGCATATAGTGTTTTCAACCCACAATAAGTAATCGTATTTAATTTCACCAACCAATAATAAACCGATTACCCATTCCCGTTATCCACACTTTACGTCCCTAAAAAAACATCTATCTCAAGGGACCTAATATAGGATTTTCATCGGGACAGACATTACTGCAAAGGGGCTTCCTTGACAATAGATGTCCTAAAGGCAACCAAGAGGGGGATAGAGTACACCGGTGAACACATCGTTCACAGTACCTACAGGTTATGAACCTGCTAGCGTTCCACTGGACTGTCTAGAAAGAGTATGTGGTCGTCATCCATACTCCGCTAGATGACTAGGTCAACAACAACATCGAGGCCTCTCATATGTTTATCACACATCAACTATCTACCCATGTTCTACCCAACATATTAGTAGATAAAAATATATATTTGTATACATAGTTTAAAACTTGTATAGCATTCTCATTCCATACACATTCCAAACAACAGATGAGACACATACACATAACACGTATTTCATAGAGAATAAATCATATCTATGAGATAGAAGAAAGTGAATATACATTCACACATATAACAACAAAATATACACATAACACGTATTTCGTATAAAATACTTCATAATTATGCGTTAAAAGAAAGTAACTACACACTGGTGGTTGTCGAGGCCAACACAAATAATAACCCTAAATGTTACACACTAAAATAGTGTATAGTGGTAAAGGGATCGAATCCACGGAGATTGGTTCAATTTCTAACTCTATGAAAAATCTCTTTGTAAAAATACTTGTAAAATAACAATAAAAATAAAATGGGGGGTTTTGGTGTTTTGAATACTTGATGCTAACTAGAATTAACTATGATTTAAATAGACAATTGCAACAAAAATAAGAATTTGATGTAAAATCAATAAGGGAAAGATGGTTGACTTAAAGTTTTCTCACTTTGACTTTTGATGAACATATCATTAGAGTTCAATGGTGCAATACTTGTTTTAAATCCTCAATTTGGCTATAGTAATCCAAGGAGCTTGAGATTACCTAGACTTTTCTTAATTGTTGAAATGGCTAGAGAAGCTCATAACAATTTCCTTAGTCAAAGTCACTAATTCCAAATAGCATGTAATTAGTGAAAGTCAACTAGCATTAAGAACCAAAAAGTCACCAAATCCAAGAGGGGTCAAATGCTTTCACCACCATGTTGGAGGAAATGTTTTTATGATTGTGTGAAGTAAAATCAACACAAAAATCATTTGTTGCTTGCTAATTTGAGGATCCTTTACTTAATCAAGAAATTAGCCAACTAATCACCACAAACACATTTAAACTCATGAACTAAAACATACAAGTAATGATAAGATGTTAAAACACAAAACATTTCCATAAAGATTCAAGAACATGTTCATGGATTCTTCAACATTCAACAAAAGTTCAAAGGATTAAACAAAAGTCAACCAAGATTAGTTTAGCCAAGCATGGCTAAACACAAAGAAACAAGTTAGAGAAATTTGTACCAAACATTAAGCAAGAATCAAGAGGTAAAAATATGATGTTCTTCAAGGGTTCTTGGCCTTCAAAAGTCCCAAAACTCCAGAGAGAATCTTCAAAAATCGGTTCAAGAGTATGCAAAAGATGGGCACCAACCTTCCTCAAATAGCTCAAAAGAAGGATTTCCGAAATTGCCCCTGCAGGGCCTTGCGCGACCCGCGTGCTGCTGCGCGGGTGGGTTGCGCGGGTGGTACCTGACATGGGCTCCTTTGAGATTTTGGGCCTCTAAAGCATATCCCACTAGCCCAGATCGAATCCAATCACCTCCTAGCCCATTTTCTTCAAGTTTTTCTTCATTTAAAGCCCAATTTGACCTCTCTAAATCCTCCAAAGCTCGTGAACTCGCCCGATTAATAATTTTCATACGCTTGAATGTTCCCCCGCATCTTTCAAATTTAAAGCTCAATTCTTCCAAGCCTTCAAGCAATTGACAAGTCCACCCCATGAATCACCTTCATAGCCATCAAGCATGAAATCTCCAATTCCCTTCAAGCCCAATCGCCTCGCAAGAGTGCCGCCCCGCTAGTTTCCAAGAAAATCTGCAATAATGCTCAAGAAACTAGAAAGTACCCCGAAATGGTCATAAAAATAACAAAAGGGAAAATATGCATGAAAGTTAACTAAAATGCGAATGAAATGTACTAAAATAAACTATAAAAATAAGTAAATAAAATGAAGCTATCAAATCACCCCAAGCTTAAACCTTACTTGTCCTCAAGTAAGACAAGACTAAATGAACTTGGGATGAACTACCCTAGAAATAAAAAGAATGGATAGAACCATGGAACCTGTTCGACGTTAGTCAACATGGTCAGAATTGATTTCGTTGCTATCTCACAACTTTTTCATCCGATGACAATGGAACCATAAACCACAGCCAGGACAACTCCTTTAGGTGAGTAAGGAGGGATGAGCAGTCGCAGCCTCAATGGAACATGTATACAATGAAGAACATCTGTAGTAGGGAGAAAGCAACTGGATGGGCTCGGGTGGAGCTCTTCTTTAAGTGTACACTCTGATCTCACGTTTGCCGGTTTCTCTCATGTGTAACTAGGTTTAATCGCTCGGGCACCGTTGTAGGAATCAGTTCACTTAGTGTTGGCCCAAACCTCCCGTAGTATCCGACTCGACAGTCTCTCCAACATCACCAATTTGTGAGAAAGAAAAAAAATATAACTCGATCTATATACATAAAACAAATCTATACAAATGAATATCAAACGTCGGGTGACCAAGATGTTGGGAAATTTGTTCAATAATTGAACCGGCCACCTATCTAAGATAGTTGCGACTGAAAATTTGCATGCTTCATTTTGTTTTTGTTTTTGTTTTTTTTTTTTTTTTTTTTTTTTTTTTTTTTTTTTTTTTTTTTTTTTTTTTTTTTTTTTTTTTTTTTTTTTTTTTTTTATGATAAAACCCTTTGACTCAAAATTTGGTTCCCAAAGGTGTGTAGGTGGAACCGAAAGGGTAATGATATAATCCGAATGGCCTAAGTGTGGAAATGACCATGTGTGGAGCATAAAGATGTAATGTAGCTCCTTTTCAAACTTGTGGTTTTTCAAAGATAATGAAATGTCCAAATGTGGACTAAAAGACTCTCTAAATTCTAAGAAAATCGCAAAAAGATATGGTGATGTAAAGAGACCGGATATGGATTCTACTCGGGGACAAGCACCAATGCTTCATCCTAACAGTTCAAACATGATCAAGTGTGATCCTCTCCGCGGTAGTGACCGCAAGGCTAAGAACACCCATTGCTATAGTATATCCTACAGTTGTTAGTATTGTATGCATAATTCTTCATGAAAACTACCTGTCCATGATCACTTACCCCTTTAAGCTACCAGCATCTGATCCCAAGTATGAAATCCCAAACTGCAGCTAGTGGTCCCGGTTCGATGGGTGAGATAGCAACAAGATCCTGGACCAATAATGATACAATAACTATGAACCTGTTCCATGGCATCCAAGAGAGGTGAGAATAAACAGACAACAAAAATGCATGAATGCTAATGTCTTAAGCTAAATGTTATGCAAAAATAAAAAGTAGAAAAGAAGAAAATAAAATCTTTTTTTTTTTTTTTTTAAATTTAATAAAATAAAAAAATGAATGCAAATTAACTTAAACTAATATGTTATGCAACCTAACTAAAAATGCATGAAAAAGAGTAAGAAAAAAGGGAAATGCCCAACCCCAAGCTTAAGAACAAGCATTGTCCTCAATGCTTAAGGAAAGGGCAGAAAGGACCTAGATCGGGGGGTCGGGCGGCGGGAAATGCCCGTGGCGATGGTGGTAGTCCCACATATCCTGGAGCTGGCTGGAAGTGTGAGAGGAGGACTGCTCCAATCGATCAACACGGTTTGCCACATCTAGGATGGCTCTCGAATTCTCTTGCGTTTGGGCGTCGATACGCTGCACCGTGGAGAACATTGTGGCAAATTGGTCAAAGAACGTAGGGGGGAAATATGGTGGGACTTCGTGTCCCTCCTGCTGATGCGGCTGGTCAAAATGATGTGGAGGGCCGGAACTGATCGTGCTGAAACATCGGCTGTTGCATCGAGGGTTGGTCAAAATGGTCTTCAGCTTCGGGCATCTCGTCGTCCTCTTCGTCATCTTCTTCCTCTTGTTCCTCTGCGTCGTCACCCTCATCATCACCGAATTCTGGGAATACACCTGCTTGGGTCAATTGATCTGGAGGGAGCCAAGTGTCGGGGTCGCCTGCATCGAATGAGGAACCGATCCAACTTGGCAGGATGTAAACCGGGGCTTTGTCAGCGTCTAACCAACTGTACGTGCGGGTTCCCCGATCGAGCAACATCTCCATCCGGATGAGAGTGTCACAATCTAGCAGGAAGTTCGGTGGGGTGTCGACAGGTATGTACTCGGGATCCGGAAAGTCTAGGCCGACGGCTCGACCTATGATCGTGATAAGTCCCCCGATGAAAATTTCCCCCGAGGAACGTTGGCGTATGGAGTCACATTTGTCTAAAAAAAACTGAAAAACTGAGGGAGAGTGCATGCCTCATGCTTCGGAGGAAAAATAGCTCACATCTGTTGATTTGACCGGGCTCGAGACGCCCGAAGATACTCGTCGTAAGGACTCGGTGAGCAATTCGCCAACATGGGTGAACGATGTGCTTGGCTCGCTGTCGGCTTGGGTTGAAGGTTGGGAGACCGGAAATTTGCATCCAGAAGTTTGCATCAGGGCAACGCAGAAAATCTTGGTACTCTTGACTTTGGGGGCTGATGCGGAACGGATCGTTTATACCCATGATAGAATCAAGCTCTGCGTATGTGATCTATGATGTTCCCCTTTCAACTGGAATGTGAGGACTTCTGTGTTATCATCTCGTGCATAGGTGCTAAGAAATTCCATCGTGGGTTTCCTCGTAAGTTCTGTCACAAAGTCGAAGAAAACCACGCCAACCGAGTTTTGATGACAAATGGTATACACATCATGCACCCAAGCTTTTTCATGGACTTTTTGTGGTAGAATTTTGTCGGCCGGATTGCGCGACCCGAAGATTGGAGCGATAGGTTTTGATCTCAGCATTTGTAAGGGAAGGATCGCTTCCCTCTTCTCCT